GGGGCTGCCTGGGTCGGAGTAAAAAAACCAAATGACAGGAGCACGTGACCACATGTGAGATCATATGAGAACGTGGAAGAATCAAGTTATTCTGGACTCGCTGGTAACTCAGGTTATGCCGCCGAGAGCTTTCATGTGTGTTGTGTACTTGCCAGGAAAGGACGGTGAGTGGTAGGGGACGGGGAAATTCATTCATCAAACTCTAATTGTGTCCGTACTGAGTGATTACTCCGAGCCAACTTGCATACGTTTATCCGCTCACCTCGTCACCTCTATCCGTTTTCTATCCTCGAAAACATCCTTCAGAACACGGCCACCTTCCTCCTTGCACTGCAAAATGCTCTCAAAGAAAAGGCTCGTATTGCAATCAAATTTTTTTGCAACTTGCAAAGAATAGTGAGGAACAGACCATCTCAGTGTCGGTGACGAGAAGAAGAAGAAGAAAATAATAACCGAAACAGGGAACAGTTGGGCGAGGGGCGAAGAGGGACGGAGGGTGGGGGCGATTAGAAGGCAGTGGTGCTTTTCCGGTTTGTTGACTCTTTTCTTCTTATCACCTTAGCTGAAATGGTCCATTGAAAATACTTGCAGATCATTTTTTCCCCCTGTTAGCTTGGCACCACTTTAGAAGGCAGGTTCCCCCAGGGGCAGGGGAGGCATCTGCTGTCGTCGTTAGAAAAAAAAAACAAAAACAAAAACAGAAACAAAAAGAACTATCAACAAACTCTTTATTTCAGCGCGGCATAGTGTGACGCCGTCCGAGATATACCGTTTTGTTTGGCTTTATTGCCATTTCCACCGTCGCGGGGTCGATGGCATCACGCCTCGCAGGATCGCGGTCCGCCCCTCCGCTTGAGCGCACGAGCCCGCGCGCGCGCGCACACACACGCACGCACACACACGCACGCACACACACACACACACAACAGCGCGCGCGTTCTATTTCTAGCCGCGACAATTCAACTGATATGAGAAATTCGACGCTCACACACGGCTGCGCTCTGCTATTAGCCGCTGCGCCAAGCAACTAATAATTGCAACTAACTCGGTACTTTTTTTCCGCTCATTTTTTTTTCCATTTCTGTTCGCGGGAAACGTGAGAACAAACAGTGCGGCTGGACACATGACGCGCACCGTCTCGCGTCCGGCCTGACGTCGGAGCGACATATATGCATAATCGCTGGCAAAGTCTCTCCCTGTTCCAGCGTCCATCCGAGAGCCGAATTATCCAAAGGCGAACACACGCACACACACACTCACGAGCGTGCGCGGGACACACACACACAACAACCAACCACACTCACACACACACACACACATACACACACACACAAACGCGCGATATCAATGTTATTGACAGGACCGGTTGACGAGCGTATAAAGGATAGAGAAGCGGGAACACCCAGCGGCAAGAACAAAAGAGGACACAGATGAAGCGGGCGAAGATGGGCGGGTGTTCAACCAAAGCCAGATGCTCGAACCTGATTGTGCAGTAGGTTAGGACTTTCTGAATGTACACGAAAACGTTGCCTTTTTAGGTCAAAAATTGTCTCTTTACATTTAGAGTGTATTATGCTTCGAAATTCTTTGCAAGCTGCAAAGAAAATTGGATGCAGTACGAACCTTTTCTTTCTGTATTTTTTGCAAAGCATTTTGCAGCGTGATTTCCAGAGCTCTTTAGGGCGCCGTGCAGTTCGGTGCATCCTCCTGACGCACACGCAATTGGCCAGCTGGAGAGACGACACCGCGATGCCTTCCAAAATAAACAACAAACCGCTGCAGGTTTAATCTCGGCCCGATTTGAGGCACGTCCTTGACGTCATGCGAGAAATGACTCAGTCGCGGACGTCACCAAGCTGGTGGCGGGGCGGGGCATGGCGGGACGGGGCGGGGCGGGAAGGGGCACACAACACTGCCGTTGAACTTGTCGCGCCCCGCCTCCCCCTCCCCGGTCTGATCGTCATTCTAGGAGAAGTCCATCTCTCTCTCTGTTTATCACCGGATCAACCGATCTGAGCGCCGACAACCGACAAATAAAAGAGATCATTTCCGAGAAATAGGCTTGCACTGTACTAGTGGACACCACCTGTCTCTTTAGACACGCTCATCAAACTGATGCAAAAGATGACAGGGTCTCTCAGATAAACACATACACCACAGTGAAGTTTGAAGTGTGTGTAGACTGGGTATTACATCCAGTGGAAGGTGCAACCTTAGTCCTTTCCACCCTGATTTGTGAATCGTTTTGCCTTGCTGAAGGTAGTCCTTAACAGGACTCACAATCAAAATGTGCTTTGTCACACTTTTAGATAGAATGAATAATTATTGTCGTAACGATGCATAACAGAAGAAAATAAGCTTTATAGTTTAGTTTTGGTTGTTTGGGTACCTACTCAGTTTATATTTTTATTGGGATATATTACCACTTTATTTTAATAATAAATGCACATTTGCGCAAATTTTTAAACTTCTACAAAAGTGTCTTATCGAACAGTCATCGTTGTTCGCTTAGCAACCAACAACGAGAAAACCGTGAGAGGGGGCCTCAACTCCGGAAATTTGGTGTACAGCCACCATGGCAATCTTTCGATAATCTTGGCAATCTCTTGGCGATTGAATCGAAAAAAAATAAAAAAATAAATCGTTTTTGCCTACATTCAGGGTGAAAGTAGTGCCCTTTACCTATCAGCAAAATATTCATCTAGCATTCTGGCAATCTTAGCAATCTGGTGTACACTCTATAAGAGAGTCGAGGCCCCCTCAAAACCATGTATCTTATATTTCGCTGTACTAGAATTTTCAAGAATAGTCCGCTTGTTTTGAGAACAAGTGTAGCAATGCACGAGGACAGTGTTCTGAAAACAAGTTACTTTGTACACAAGACAATGTAGAATGTTCTAGAGGTTTCCACTACGGCCAAATATCGAGTACACGGTTTTCTAGGTGTAATAAAGATACGCTCTTGTGGCCCACACTTGACGGCATCGGCTCCCTCGTAACCACCCACAGAGGTCGAGGTGGGCCTAAAGGACTTTATCTTTCTCTACCATGTTCCACTGCCTTGTTTAATTGTGGGGCTTCCGCTGAAAATCCCCCAGACAAAACGACCCCACCAGACCTTAACTACAAGATGTTTACCACGTAGCGCCTGTGATCCCACACCAGGACGACCAGAACTCCCCCCGCCTCCCTCCCCGCCCTCTCTGGCTTCCTCTGTGATCCTCTGCCCGAGAGACGTGCGTCCGCACCACGCCTCACCCCGCCCCACCCCGCCCCGTCCTGGTCCTGACATATAAGCCCGTGGGTGCTCAGCTGTGGGCACAGTCCTGCTCTCGCTCCATCTCTCGCGCACCGCTCTCGACACCAGCCCCAGCCCCAACATGGCCAAGATCCTCCTCTGCCTCGGCGTCGTCGCCCTGGTCGCCCTGGCCGCCGCTGCCCCCAAGCCCGAGGAGAAGTTCACCACCAAGTACGACAACGTCAACATCGACGAGATCCTGGCCAACAAGCGTCTCCTCAACAACTACCTCAACTGCATCCTGGATAAGCCCAAGGCCCGCTGCACCAACGACGCTCTGGAGCTCAAGAGTGAGTACATCGCGGTAGTGACCAGCGCACTAGGGTCAAGGGAAATCCAAATATTATGGGGCGAAAAAAGGATCAGGACTGTCACTGGAGTCTAAGGAGACCCCATGGTATTTGCACCCCCGGATAAAAATACCATGGGGGGCTCAGTGGACTCTAAAGGCCGTCTTGATCCTTTTGGGACCCCTTAGTTTCTGGATCCCCCTTTCCCATTGTCCACGCGGTTTCTGAACGGCCCCCTAAGACCCGCCAGAGCCAGGACTGCACTGCAGGCCGCCTGGAGGGCGTAGGCAGTGCACGCCGACACCCGTGCATGCAGGAGTTGCCTACCTGGCATCCCGCAGGCGCCAACAGGCCGCTCGGGCGCACCATCGGGAGACTATCGACTTCTACCAACTTAAAAGGGTCGTTGCTTGTCGCTTTCGCGAGGCGGGGGATATTTTTCTGCTTTAAGCCGTGGCGAGACCACGGTGAGGTCATACCGTGCCCGACGCAATGATCTCCCCGCGGCAGCCCGACGCTGTAAACACTTAGCGCGCCCGCGTTGTGTGCGTAGCAAGCAGTACTGTACGGCGCGTGTGCGAGAGCAACAGAGAAGCATAAAAACAGATGGGGGGAGGGGGGGGGTAGACAGCGACGGCAGAGGGCAAGGCCAAGGACGCGGACGCGCTTTGCGTTCACAGGGGGGAGGGAGGGTTCAGCGAGACCCCCTCGGCAACGGACTCTGTCCGCGGGGAGTTGAACGCGGGAAGGGCACAAGGGCTCCCAGCTCCTAGCTCTCCGCTGGCGCCCCGCGGGCCGGCGGTGTCGTGTCGCCTCAATTATAGTTTGTTGTTTTAATTAGTCTCAAAACAAAAATAGTGTTCTGACGTCGCGCTCTCCGCGCACACGCGATGGGATGGGGCAGTGATTAAAAAAGGCATTCGGCGAGTGAGTGGTGTGTGTGTGTGTGTGTTGTCGTGCACGCGCCTCGTCTCGGCCTCTTTCGGCTGATGTGAGCGTGAGTAAGATCAGAAATTTAAATCAAGCCGTACAGTTTTTTTCGGGTTTTTTCATCCTCTTCGCTTTACGGCCTCCGTGCGCTCGGTGGTCGTATATATATGTATGTGTACACGTTCTCGGCTTTGCGGAAGCTGCCCGGCGCCGGGTGCCGTCCTCCACCTACCAGCTCCTCTGTCTCTCTCACATGAATAAGGAGATACGAGCCCCGGGACTTTTCCTCTCGCCGATCCGACCGGCACCCCTGAATGTGGCTCGTTTGCAGAGAGCTTTCAGGTGGTGTGATTCTGCCGGGAGGAGTGAGAGAGAAACGTATATCTCCTGGGGCAATTTTAACACGGCCGCACGAGAGCGTGTTCCCAAATGAAATGATGGTCGGGACGCGGCGCGATGACGCGCAGGCCGCGCATGGTAATGTAGGTGTCTCCCGCAGATAGGGCACTGCAAAAAGTAAACGACTGGTAACGAGTGGAAAAAATTTAGTAAAACCTGTCGGTACGAGTCGGATTACAACACGAAGCATACTTTGTGTGTGGAGACTTCTGTGATTTAGAGAGCGTGCGCGCGCGAGAGAGAGGCAGGGGAGATGGAGGGAGGAGGAGGGGGAGTGAATATACACTAGGTTGAGGGAAGGGGTACGAAGATGCAACTGTCCCATGGGAACAACTTCCGGCAATCTCGTGTGGGAAAAGACTCGGCCGGCTTGACACAGAACGCGCCGGGCAAATCTCGGGCCAATCATGGCTACACTTTGCTGCTCATCCTCCTGGATGAGAGCAGCCAATCGTGTCCCGACCGTGCGTGTCACACAAGAACAAGGCCGCAATCTCTCTCTCTCTCTCTCTCTCTCTCTCTCTCTCTCTCTAACCCCCCCTCTCTCTCTTCAGCATGGAACCTCCCTGGGTATTGCAAGGAGTTTCCTCAGTTATTTAAAAGTATTGACCGCGCTAAGTGTGAGCCGCGAGAACCGGCGCGGACCTTGCTCGATGGACCCAGCTCCGCTTATAATGCAATTCGTAACGCAGTAGTTCGTACAGCTCAAGACGCCGCATTCATAGCTATTGGCAGCAGCCCTCGTAGCACCAAACAATTTCTGCACGCTTTTAAAACGTTCTTTTAGTCCCCTGTTGGTTCGGGGTACCCAATGGGGTGTGCAACAAATTCGCGAACAAATCGATATTATTATTATTATTATTTCGACATTTTAGACAATTTAGTTCTTGATGTCGCTCAGCCCTAACACCCCACACGTTTCACTCTTACAATCTTTTCCCCTATTAAGTCGAGCAACTTTCACCCTTCACATAAAACAAGCAGGATGTGTATGGAGCTTATTGCTAATTTTCTGGTTCTATTCTCTGTCACACAGAATCCATCCCCGACGCCCTGACCAACGAGTGCATGAAGTGCTCCGAGAAGCAGAAGGAGCTGTCCGAGAAGGTGGTCCGCCACCTGGCCGAGAAGGAGAAGGAGTCCTGGGAGGAGGTCAAGGCCAAGTTCGACCCTACCGGCATCTACGAGAAGAGGTACGAGAAGATCGCCCAGGAGAAGGGAGTCGCTGTCTGAGCCGTCGCCCCAACGTCACCATCACCAAACACTCAACCCACCAAATGGTTGGCAATGACGTCCGTCAACCTCAATTCAAAACCAAAAAAATAAATATTCAATGTACATAAAGTTTTGTTTTTTGAATATTTTTGCTGTGAATCATCATGATAACGATAACAATAAAAAATCTGATCTTGTAAAACAATGAAACTTCTTAAATTGAACCCATTGCACAGTAACTCCGACAGTCGCTAATGAACCAGAAGCTCCGCCCCTTTGTGGAGCAGATCTGAAATTCGAGAGCGATTTTTGATATCACATTTTTTAAGTACCGAAATAGGGGATAAAGTACCCAATTTTTACCAAAATTTTAGGTACCCAAACTTTAAGAATTTTTTTCACACACTTAAAAATAAAAATTTCAAAATCGCTCTCGTCAAACGAAAGCTACATCTTTTAAGAGTAAAAGAGTATTTTTGTCGTTGCTGTAGGTCCATCCGTTGTCGCGCAATCCTGCACACGGTAAAGGCCCGTAACCCTCCACTTCGAGACAAAGAAGGGCATGTTCCCGGAGAAGCAAGCAGACGTTGTATAAATAAAAACGTAGCTTAATCCTTGCTCTTTCTAAATATCTTTCGTTGAAAGCGCTACTATTCTTCGTTTTCTTGTAGTTACTATTTTCCCAAACCCTTGCGTTTCACAGGTCTGCCCCCTTAAATCGACGTTGAAGAAATCCATTTTTCACTGGGAGAAATAAGGCCGCGATCGGCCTTGACAGCACCGCGTCAACGATCCTGTTTGAAGCTACACAGTTGTATATACCAGGTGGCTGATTCACGCCGCGCGCTTCTATAGTTATGCTGTACCGCATGCACGAGTGCGGGCGGGTTGCCTATTAGCTCGGCTCAAGGCGCCTTGGACAGAGGCGATAAGCAAGCCCGTCCGCACTCGTGCATGCGGTACAGCATAACTACAGAAGTGCGCGGCGTGAATCAGCCACCTGGTACAACCGACATGGCCACGGGCAGCTTCACTCGAACCGACTGTAGGCCAAAGACAAAGTGCACTCGGCGCCGTTTGTTCAAGGAAGGCCCTCTCCCCATCCCCCGACAAACCCCGGTCAAAAAAATAAATAATAAAAAATGGGGGAGAGCGCCTCTTACACCGCAGTCGTTGGTGACTTCTGTGATCGCGCGACCAGCCGCTTCCAACCACAGGGGGCAGAACATACTCCTGGAGGTACTGGCATGTTCGACGCGTACGTTGGTTAAACTGTTCTGTTCTGACCCACTAGGTCGTAAGTCTAATAAACGCACCCGCCACCACAGCAAGGTGCCAGGAAACTGGAGCCCCTTACACCCGCCTGGCTGGTGATTTTTCTAAAACCCATAAAAGTGCTTTCCGACCTAGCTTTTGTCCGACCTAGTTTTCACCGACCTCGTCAATCTGCTCAAATTTGGGAAAAATGTGCTTCAAAGAGGAACAGCGAGGGGGAAACGACTGTTAAACTTTGTGTCAGCCGGATTACGGATTACCCGGATTACCTCCGGTGTGTCCTCCGGATTACGTTGCTTTTTCTCTAGGATTGCCCCGGATTACCCTAAAATTTCCCCGGATTACCCCAAAATTTCCCCGGATTACCCTGGATTTTGTAGAATTTCCTCGGATTACCCCTGCCGGATTACCAAACGGCTGTCAGCCGGATTACCTTAGTCGTTTCCCCCTCGGGAACAGGCTTCAGAGGCCATGAAGGAGTACTTTAAGTGCAGTGAGGGAAAGACCGCGACTATGACGGAGTGCATCCCCACGTCACAGAACAGTCAAAAGTCCGCTCAGCTCCGTAAATGGGCAAGCCCAAAGGCCCGGTCAAAAAAAATTAAAAATGGGGGAGTACGCCCCTCATCCCGCAGTCGACGGCGACTTCTGTTCGTAAAGGGATCATCCGCTTCCAACCACAGCGCTAAAACATACTCCTGGGGTTGTTGGACTTACAGGTGTCGCAAGGTGAACAAGACTGAAACCCAGATTCCGAGGGCTTACCTCCTAGAGGACTGTTTTCTTTTTCCCCCGCACTTCAAAACGCACAAATTAGTATATGGTGTGCGAACAAAAAATTTCCTACACACTTGGCTATGGCTCTATGACTCTATGGCTCTATGGCTTAGTCGGTAGAGCGCCCGCCCAGGGCGTGAGAGGTCGACGGTTCGACTCCATAGGCTCGGCAAGATTTTTCGCTTTTCCATTTGGCGATGGTGTACGGCCTCAGGGGCGACCTATAGTTCAAGTAGAATCGGTACACGGCTCACCTCCGTTGGCTTGGTAGCTTTGGTGGCACCCGGACGTTTGGCGCCACCGCTGAACCGGGAGAGAGGTGAGCTGGACTACCTTGTCGCTAAAAGAGCGATACAGCGGCTAAGTCCCGGCCGACCCCTCACGTAAGGAACCCCAAAAAAGTAATTGCCATCTTTAGATATGTTGTTCCCAGCACTTCAAAACGCACAAATAGGTATATGTTGTGTGAACAAAAAAATATATTTCTTCACACTTACAATTTTTTTAGCAGTCAGCGACAGCGTAGAATCGATCGTTCCCTGGAGCGTCAGTCCGTATCTCGCCTCTACGGCTCAGTCGGTATCGCGCCCGCTCAGAGCGCGGGAGGTCGGCGGTTCGATTCTCCGACGATCTGAAATTTTTCTCAGGCCACCAAATTACGAATGGACCTCAAAACCGTCATTTCACCACGCCCCTCTCGTGGTGTTCCGATGGCGTAGTGGTTACCATTGTTGGTGGCACTGCGTCATAGGTGTCAATTAAGTGTCGGCTCTGGGCCGGGGTTCGCGCCCCGGTGCCTGGCACCTCGCTGTGGTAGCGGGGTGCATAATAAGACCTAGAAACTGGCTGAAAAGGACTCCATGACCTGTGGTGGGTCAGTACAGTTTAACCAACGTACGCCTCAACCGTCTCACAAACCCCGGGAGTATGTTCTGACCACTGCGGTTGGAAGCGGCTGTTCGGAACAGTGACCACAGTTCGCTAACTACTGCGGTGGGATGAGGAAAGTACTCCCCCATTTTTATTTTTTAGTTTTGAAGCCTGTTCCTCTTTGAAGCACATTCTACTCAAATTTCAGAATATCGACGAGGCCGGAGAAAATTAGGTCGGACAAAAGCTAGGTCGGACAGCACTTTTAGGGATTTTGGAAAAATTACCAGGTCGGAGAAAAGAAGGGCGGACAATGTAAATACACCCAAATCAAATCCCCAGCAAGAGTCCTCTCCGACCTAGGTTTTGTCCGACCTATTTTCCTCTCAAATAGGTCGGACAAAACCTAGGTCGGAGAGGACTCTTGCTGGGGATTTTGGAAAAATCGCCAGGTCGGAGAAAAATAGGTCGGACAACTTTGTTATTGATCAGACGTCCACTCGCGACAAAACACAGCATGGTCGCCGGCGTGACGCGCTTTGTTTGTTTAGGGACGACGCTACGCCACGCCTTCTCCTCAGAGATAACTTCTTCTTGTCCCTCGTATCGGGCATTACAATTACCAAATGCTCTGAAATTCTTTGCAAGCGGTACAGAAAATCCTTTGCTATGCGAACCTAATATTATTTGCAGTATGGATCATAAATGCCCGGTAGTAATTTTTTTTTAGTTTATGGCCCTCAACTTGCCCCCCCCCCCCCTGCGAGATAGGTCGGCAAGCGAGTGAATGGAATGACGTGACGTGCGCGCCAAGACCCCGTGCGCGTAGGCATCCCAACGAACTCCTACGAAGGTTGTGTAGTGGGCCGACTTGGCGTTAGAATCGAAAGGAAGAAGGACACTTAGGGGCCGTTCACAAATTACGTCACGCATCTGCCGGGGGGGAGGGGGTCTCTGCCCGCGTGACGGTCCTATGCTGAAAGCATTAGAAGGTTAGGTTAGCCGCGTGACGTGGGGGAGGGGGGGAGTCAAAACCACCTGAAATTTGCGTGACGTAATTTGTGAACGGCCCCGGTCGTCCACATATTACGTCACGCTATTTTTGGCAGTTTTTAACCCCCCCTCCCCCCACGTCACGCGGCTAACCTAACCTTCCAATGCTTTTGGTATAGGACCGTCACGCTAGCGTAGACCCCCCCTCCCCCCCAAACGCGTGACGTAATATGTGGACGACCCCTTACGGACAATAACATGTGCCCTGCCCGGGTATAGACACCTCTCCTCTCCTCTCAGAAAACGTTTCGTGATGCATTCTCTTGACAAAATGCGTTTGTGATGCACTCTCTCGCATGCACTCCCATCCGGTTTGCGATACTTGTAGAATCTATGCCGAGGGGGCAATAACTCCCTTGTGATGTGTACACATGATTCCCGGAGTTCTTGCCCCCTCGATCTATGCGATGGTGGATAACTGAGGTGCTTTTTGCGATTCCTATTTTATCGCATAGAGGAATGTGTGATTTACAGGAAGAATATAAAATCACCAGAGAGGTATCGCAATGACTTTCCATTACAATTTTCACTATATTTTTGCAATAATTTATCCATTTTATTTTTGTCGCAATTTAGTATGAAGCTGCCGTATTTTCAGGACTAGGACCGTTCAAAGGAAGAGTGCGTCTACTCCTGTAGCACGTGTCACTCTGACTTGTTTTTGTTGTTGTTTCTTTCAATCAACTTAGCAAAATTCTAAACGCCATCCTGCTCAACATGCTGAGAGCCACGCCGCACGGGGCACGGTGCACTCTGCAAAAGAGGCTCTGGAAAGTGTGTGAATGTCGCTCACTTGCAGGTGTGTGAATTTCCATTCACTAGAATCCATGGGCCTCATTGCGATCAATCTTAATTTGCAGAATCCAACCAGCACCGCGAATCTGGCAAGATTTCCAAAGCCACGAGCAGAGAGGCGGGCCCGTGTGTGCAGTACGCGTGTCACTTGTCACTGACTGTCGCCCGTTGCGCCGCGCGCACTCGGTGGCACGGCAACCTTCAGCCCCGCGAGACAGAGAGAGCCGTGAACCTGAGCGGGCAGGCCGAGGGGCAGGCAGTGCGCACCGTGCGCGGTCAGACTTCTGCCGGAAGGAAGCGGAGGAGGAAGGAAGGCAGGCTGGGAAATCAACCGGCTCGCCTCTCTATCGGAACGCGCACCCGATCGTCTGTCCCCCGTCGGCCCCTCGCCCGTCGTGCGTAGCATCGCGTCGCGTTGGCTCGGCTCGCCCCTCCTGCACAGTCCAGCTGGACGGCGCGGGTGCATCCTAGTGCACGCTCCCGCTTGAACCCCGTGGCGGTCAACCGGTGTACGGGTCATAGAGCCGTAGCAGCCAACGCGGAGCCAAAACAGTCGATCCTGCCCCCGCTTCGCTCCGTTCAACAGCTGTTACATTCAGTTGAATTTTAATTCCGTATGATAAAGTCGTTAGGAGGTCAAGTTCAGGGCGCCCAGAGCGCTATTTTGTCCGCTCCCACAGTTAAAAAAAAAAAGCTGCACCAAGTATCTCCGGGCGGGCCTCTGGCCTCACACAGCTGCCTGGCGGGCTGGCCTACCCAGCGCGTTGCAGGCGCTCGTCAATAGCGTCGCCTCGTGAAACGTTGCACCTCCCAAAGTCAAGGGGTAATTTTGAGTTCAGTTTTTCGAGCAGGGTCCTTCTGCCTAAGTTACTAACAACGGGTGGTTTTACGTGTGTGAACCACAAGCACATTTTGGCCCAAAATTAATTGTTTTCTTTAAGACGAGTTGTTGTAGGAAAACATTTTCATTCGAATGAAAGACAACAATATCATAGCGTGTGTCGAGAGTAAAATTGATCTTGGTTTAAAATTTGTTTGAAATTTACTTGGAACAGGAAAACACACATAACACACTGCCAACCAAGCTGCCCTCCCTACTACTAGTTACTAAACTAAAGGGAAACCCAACAGTTCTAAGTACTTACACACAAAAAAGTGAACTTTCAAGCAGACACACACTAGTGTGTTCTTACCAAAGTGCGTACATGGAACCGTGTACACTGGGAATCCAAGTGTACAAATGTCGCACACCTACAGGTGTTTGAAAACATGCACATGCTTGTCAGGTGAGCGACAAAATATTCACAGACACCTGCAGGTGTACAACATTTGTACACTTGGATTTCCAGAGTACTTGCCATAGTACACACGTATAAGTATGTTGAGTCTGTAGTGCAATTTACCGTATGTAATCATAACAATTTCGCCGCTCTGGAACTCCTCGCGCACTTCCCGGTCTCATCGCGTGTACTTTTCGATATATCGATCGATTGCTGTGCGCGCCGCACACTCCCGGCTTCCCTCTTCTCCTCGGGGCGGCACGACACGCACGGCTGCCATAACCGCCAACGCCGTCGTCGTCGTTCGTCGGGGTTCTCGTCAACACAAACACTTATTGTGTGAAATCCGCGCTGCGATACTCTTGAGGCGCCGGGCCAGATATTCCGCTCGCGCGGAGCGGGCGGCCAAACCGCAGCACGTCGGCTGCAAACGCGGCAATTTCCAGGAACATCGCGCAGTTGTCGCCCCCCCCCCCCTTCCTTCTTTTGGACCCATCCGCTGGTCGTCAAAGCGCTGGGTGCTACTTGGTGCGCTTGGCGGAAAGACCCCAGCGTTCATAAACCCCCGAACATGGGACGACCCCCCAACTCGTCATTGTATGAGCGTGACGGGGGAACATCACCCCTCCTACCGCGACGAGGTATTATACATTTTTGTGGGATTCTTTTTGCGTTGCTCCTTGTTTTGAGCCTGGGGCGGCGGGGCAGTGATGGCATAACAAATCTATCACATCTGTCAACGTCCATATCACAGTGGAAATTCCGTCCAGGTCCAGGGTTTTAAGCAGACGAGCGGAAGAAAAACGGGAACGTATTGTTTGTTTATTTGTCAATCTTCTTGAAAACGTGGACGTTGTTTTCATCGTGCGCAGCGGGGAAAGGGGGGGATGGAATATTATTTGTCAACTGGTCAACACAGAGTACAAAGTCGGCGCCATTTTAGGCAGGCGCGATGACTACATTTTTTGACTTGGGCCTCAGTTCGGGACGAGTGTCTGCCTGAGATTAACTCCAGTCCGGCGTGAGCCAGGCTCATTCCTCCTCGCCTAGCCGCGAACCTCAAATGCAGTAAAACTATGTAATGGGGCCTAGCCATCAGACAAGGTTAACCCAGTCCCCCCACCAAAGCCGCGTGCGCCGTTTACAAAAGAAAACATCCTGGGGCCGGAGGAATAAAGTAGACAACGCCATCACATCACTAGCCCCGTCGGTGGAATGATAATTTTGGGACGGACACACGCGTGTTTTGTTTTTGTGGCCCGCTGCCCAGGACGTTCCTCTCCGGCTTTGGGAAGCCCCTGGGAGCGCTCCGCGCCCGGCGTCCGGCAGGGGAAACCGCAAAGCGCTCAAAGCACAGGGTGGGCGGCGGGGCAGGAGCTCTCCCTCCCCTCACGAAGTAGCCGGGCACGAATAACTTTTTATTTTTGAAGTCATTGCCTTTACAGTGGCCTTTACGGAGGGATTTCGGCAACGCACAGGAAATCCAGGTGTGCGACAGAATTTCATCACACCTGCAAGAGAGCGACATTCGCACAGCTGGACTTCCAGTGCAGCCCTGCAATAGTGCGACTTTAGCCGGCCTTAATTTTCCCGGTGTAGGATCTCTCTGGCACGCGCCAGTTATTTAACGATATTCTAGGTTGTACTGTATCTGAAAAGGAGGGGATGACGGGGAGATTTTAAATGCCCCCTCCCCCCCCCCACCTCCTAGCAACTGTCTAACCAATAAACTGCCCGGCATGCAAATTATGCTGCAGTCTGCATAAATGTGGTGAAAGATTGCGCACAACCGAGTAGCACACGCGTGCACAACACAAATTCTGTAATTTTTCGCGAGCAGTATACATGTTTAACCCTTTCTGTGCCCTCTTCCCTTTTTCCCTCACAGGAAGCCCTCTCTAAATTTAGGAATTTTAAATTTTTGTCTGACGAAGAGGAAATATTTAGGGCAGACTTTACTCTAATCACTGCGTAGAGGCTTTGCTTGTCAAAATTTTGGCAGTCCATTAAAGACAGTCAAATTTTGGGGGGCATTTTAGCCTCTTTAGAATGTCATAATTTGGTCTCCTAATGCCAAATTTTACCAATTAAAACGGCATAGCCGCAAAAACTGGCAGTCTCTCGGAGAATGCAAAAATTTGGTAGTCAAAAAGGAATGGCAATGTTACCGGCCAACAGGAAGAGTTGCGTGTTAAACGGAAGTGTTTGTATTTTAATCTGCTAGTACAGCACCAATTTCAGATCGGTGCATACTACTCCGCGTTCACACTTATTTTTCCTGTTCTGTGTTTCTCGCTCGTAAAATGAGATGCAATTCAGAGCGGCTGGTGGACCAAAAGATGCGCCATACGGTATGGTAGGAATTCCCCCGCGCGCACGCAAGAGGAAAACGATTCTAATATGGCAACGGCTTACGTTCTCAGCGACGCCAATTTCACGACAGGAAAATTTTTAGTTGGAGGGCACACAACGCCACAACGACGACGGGCCATTTTCCTACTGCCCAAATACTGGGACCTAGCCCATTAAAATACACTTTTCGGGTAGTGCCATGATAGAAATAAATGTACCCGTGCTGAGTTGGAGTCAAAGTAGTAGTCAGTCTGCACTCTCATCCTGTTACTTATTTTTTTTTCACCCCCTGTCAGTATTCCTGCTGCGTAAAAACTTTTATAAACTACTGACAACTCTTTTCATGAGTACGAAATAGTTTAATTTTACGCTCTTGACACTTTTTTTTTGCTTTTATCGATGTGTTATACTTACAACGATATACAGAATAAGTAACACATTAGTCAGTAATACTGCCGCGTAAAAACCTTTATAAGCTACTAATAAATAAATCAGTACAGGTCTGAGAGTGTGGCGTCACGAGGACCCGGGCACCATACCCTCTGAGGATAGGCTGGGCTCACTATGCAATCAGCACAGTAGGAGGGCGTTTGCGGAAACATCTGTACATTCGGCGCGGCACAATGTAATGCACTCACGCCGTGAAGCATCTTCGTCAACACTGTCACTGCAAACACGTTAAAAAAAGTTGTGACAATACACACGCGTTCTTTCGTTCTCCTTGGTGTGCGGTATGGTAAAAAAAGGTCGGGTGCAGTGAGAAAAAAATCAAATCTGACTAATGAAAAACCGGATCTATGATTGGTACTAATATTTTAGTGAATTTTTTCCGAAGTTCCGTTTTCCGAAGCGATACTCGTGACGAACAACTCTTTGCGATGAAGAATTCATCAGTTCTTTTTGGCAGATTGTGAATTAAAAAAACCGAGCCGTTGACCATTTAGCAGTGCACCAACTTAACGGGCGTTTTAAAACTAGTTTCTATCGGAGAGAGTGCCCCATTCAAAAATTACCCTTTTGCAGAAAAGAAGATAAATAATCAATGAAATATCTTCTTGATCAGATATTTGCTCAGTCGTGACAAAACTTGAAGTAGGTTTAAACGTGAAGAATAAAACATTTTGCTCCGTGTTAATTGCAGCTTAACTGACTCTCCGCTTCACATCTCGCAGAAATAAATTGGGGGGAGGTTGGGCCGGCTGATAAGCGCGCCTGAGGCCAGGGCCGGAG